ATTTCAAATAATAAATAAAAGAGTAAAAATTAGATAACTTCTCATATTCGCGTTATGTGACAAAACGGAATATGCTGCGGCTATTTCGTAGATCATCACCCGAACTTCGGGGGTGCTCCTGGCTGATTCTATAAGATAGCTACGTATTACGAACTATTTGATAATGCCCACGGCATCAAATTTTAATCAGCTATTACGCATTGTTTTGATTTATTTAGATTAATCATAATATTTAAAAATTTCTTAAAACTCTATTGCTTATTTTAATAGCATTTTTGCCATGATTTTGCGAATAATTTGAGATAGTTTTTATTAACCAATGTATGTTTTGAAAATAAGATATTTAAATTTGTAGATATGCACTATATTTACATTATAACTTAATTTCGTATTTGATTTAGTTCGAGTAAGTATATTAAATATTATTTTAAGTAACTTCAAGAGAAAATGAAACTTCAATCATATAAATTCTGGATGATTGAAATCACATTTATCTTGGCGTCACTAATTTATAACTGTATCAATTAGTATACTTAAAGAAACTACAGTGTCTGCGAATATTTGTTAGGTCTTTCAAAATTAACATATTTTTTAGGAGATAAAGATCACGAATGTCAAATTAAACAGTGCATTGGCAATTCATGTTTATATAGTTTAAAAAGTAATTAACAACCCCTTATGCTTATTATACTGCAAATTAATATAATTAAACACTCAGCTTAAGTTAGGGTTAGTGTTATGGTTTAAAATTAAATTACTATTAGATTTTTGATAATATTTGAATGCATTGTGTTCATTCTTTTTAACAATTTCTTAAATTAATGACCGATCATAATTATTCATCACCCATAACAGAAATATAACATAACTTGCTTTGCTGTTACCAATTTAATCATGAATATAATAGCTACGCTATTGATCTGCAGCTTAAGAATTTACGTCAATCGTTAATTGCTTTCGCATTGGTAAAAATATAGAACAATTTAGGATAATTTGGAACAATTTAAGAATTTTTAGAACATTCAAAAACAAGTCTTTTTATTTTAGGATAATCCGAAAACAAAGTTTACTCCTAGCTATAAGAAATAACCTTGACCGATCAGTAAAAAAAAAATTAAGATCTTTTGCTACGAACTTTATGATCAATGATTACCTACGTGCTTATATTAATTCAAAAAATTACTTTAAACAATAAACACTAGCGGAATGTTATCCTATGTTATTCTATGCTATTTACAGCATTATAATATTTAGATATAATGGCATTATGGTATTTCAATATAACAGCATTACGAAAAAAATCACGGGCCGGAGTCGGTCCTAAAAATCTCGGGCTGGTCGACCGGGCCGAACATTTTTGCTAATATAAATTTTTCTAATAAAGATTAATCTCGATATCTATATCAAACGTGTAGGAAGCCATCAGGTAGTTCCTTGCCAAATTCTAGTAAACTAAAATCATTTAGTTTGTATTTAATTATAATGCGTTATATTTTATGTTGATTGATTGTCTATGCACCCGAAAATGTCAGCATTTCGATTTCTTATACTAGTTATTTTATCACCTAAATTAATGATCGGCCAATTTTTTAGCCAGTACGTATATGAGAATCGATTCTAGCATCGACCGGCCCGGCCCACAAGGGTCCAGGCTGAGGGTCGACCCGCCCATCGGCTCGGCTGTTTGGCCGGGGCCAGCCCGTATCACTAATTACGGCATTACGGCATTGCGGTATTACGGCATTACGACATTACGGCACACGGTAATTACGGCAAATAATACTAATACGGCACATGTCGTAATAGTAACTGTATTAATTTGTCAAATTAATTCTACCGCCAACAGGTATATGAAGATAAGGTTCCACGAGCACTCATAAATTTGCTATGATTTTGCTATTAAATAAAAGTCTTCATACAAAAATCTAGATATATTTTATCTATTATATTAAGCAAATACAAGTATATAAACGAAATATTATAATAAAAAATTTGGTATAAAAAAAGGAAAATCAAAAAAATATAATGAAAAAAAAACTTTCAAAAAAAGAAAAAAAAAATTCAATTTAGCCTGATACCACAAGGTTTTGACAAATCAATATTTATGAGAACTTCGATTTGAACTTCACTTAAATAATGGGTTACGCGTCGGTTGTAGAAGTTTCGGAAACGGAGTCGGGATGATCTCAATTGCCACAGCCGTTGCACCTTTTCGTAGTAGGGTACGCTTCACCATTAGGTACTATGGCAAAAAATAAAATAGCAGCAAATACAAAAATAAATCGGTTCATAGTGTTTCTGAAGATAATTCGTATTAGAAAGTTATTATTTTAGTAATTTTAATTTTATAGTTTTTAGTTGTTTTTCTGCGTGTTCTTCATGGCCACCACCTTTTTAATAATAAAAAAAAATTCGGCACGTGATTTTTCTTAACCATTTTTTTCTGTGAATCAGTTGCAATCTTCTTATTTCAATCTCATTTAGTTTTTTTTTAACATTTTTATGTGTCGTATTTGGAACTTAACTTTGATGATTGATGATCAAAAAATGTTTCTAGCCTTTTTTTGTCTGATTTCATCCACACCGGTCATTAGGAAATAACTCGTCCTCATTCATTTGAGGGTCATTTAGTCTATAGGTTTTGAAATAGGCTGGTATTTGTACACACGAGCCCAGGCTCAATAAAAATTCATATGCCAGACCTAACATAGGAATGGTAAATGATCCGGTCGTTTGATCGAAATTTAAATGATCCCAACTTTACAGAAACCTATGTTTTTTGCTAAATATTTTTACAATATATTTATTATATATTAACAATATTATTATTATATGATTTAAATAGTATATAATAAATTTATTTGAATACATATTAATCATATAATAACTATATTTTTGTTCTTTCCGCTAACTTCATTCCTAATAATATGTTTGTTATATAGATACAATATAATTTTATATATAAAATAATCTGTTATTAATCTAATAATAATAATAATAATAACAGAATAAAATAAAAAATTCTAATATTTTAATAATATAATAGTCCTATAATAAATATATTAAACTATTTATAATATGTTTATAAAATGTTTATAATATTAATAAGTTTCTTACAAGAGAGTTAACAGAGCTTACTAAGACTTTTATTATATGTTAGATATATGCTGTTTATATTTTTAAAAAATCAAGGTTTCTGTAAAGAAATCATTTGGGTTATTAAGTTCATTTAAGTCATTTGCATATAAAATAATTTTATTGGTCGAATTGCTCATATTAAAAGTTAACAAACTTCGTTACATTCCTAATCGAAAATCGTAGCTATATTTGAATTAAAGTCAAAATCTTACTAAGTCAATTGATATTTATAAATAGAAAAACCTTTTAACTTTCGTATAAATGTAAGTACGGAAGTGAATTAATAAATGTTCTTCAGTTTACATGAAAATTCAGAATATATGTAATTAATTATTTCGGACAACTTTACTAAGGTATGAATATTAATTAATTTTTGACTTTAATATATAGCTACGATTATCGATTATATTTTAATTTTGTTTGGCGACAAATTCTGATTGGCTAAAGGACGGTAGAATATCAATTAACATACCAATATGTTAAATGACCCTCTAAGTCATTTGGGTTTCGAAATGATCCAATGACTAGTCATTTGTCATTTAGGTCATTTGTGTTATTTCAGGTCATTTACCATCCATCACTGCTTCAGCGTGATTAGTTTATTGAAGTATTCTACACACAAAATACATTATGAGTAACATTAATTTAATTTTGATTTTCTAGATTTGATTTTCAGTAACATTTCGGTAGCATTTTCAGTAAGTTTCGGTTCAAATTTTTTGATTTATCGATGTATTTAAGATAAGCAATTTAAATAGCATTTACTCGTTTCAGTTCATTTATCCGCATTAATTCTGTAGATGAATATAAACACCATTAATTAACCGATATATTTTGCAATACAGTGTTGACGATTTATTTCTAAATAGGGACTTTAATTACCGGCACAAATAAGTAAATCTTCTAAATTTTATGATCATGAAAATATTATTGAACAGTCAAGGACGATCAATTAAATACGTATTTATATTTAACGTGGTTACTGAAATAAAAAATCAAGCAATTAACGGATCTAGATTTCTTAGTTTTTGAAAATAAACAGAATTAAAAAAATTCCTTTAGATAAAATCATTATATACATTAATTATCATGCAAATTAGGCATATATTTGTCCTTATAATTTCAATTTTACTACTTGTTAACGCGTTACCTACCAAATCATCTAAATCATACACGATTCCATTAAAAAAGAAAAGAATTTCTAATTCGCTTATACTACATTATGCTTCAGGACCATCCAATGCTATTAATATAAAACGAGCTACTAATGTGTCTTTATCAGATGAATTTAGTCATGATGATGCGTATTTTTGTGAAATTACTCTCAGTAACAAAAAATTCAATGTAATGATTGATACTGGATTTGGGGATTTTATAATTCCGTCTGTAAATTGTAATTCTACAGCGTGTGAAAATAAAGTTAAATATAATCCAGTAAATGATACAACTTTTAGAACAAGAAATAAAACCTTTGGATACGTTTATTTTGGTGGATATGTATTTGGAATAAGGGGTACCACCACCTCTATGAATATTAATGGATATAATTCTGGTTTGAATAATGATACAGGCATTATTGGGAATAGTGGTTTGGATTTTGGATTAGTTGATGTACTTCCCAATAATTTTGAATTCGATGAATTTGATGGTATACTAGGTTTGGCTTCGCAAAATGAATTGGTAATACAACCTGAAGAAAATTTTTATGAAAATATTCAGGAAGATTTTAGTGATCCGAATCAAATATTCTCTTTAAAGATTGGAAGAGAAGCAGACGGAACGGAAAGTGAATTAACAATTGGTGGTATTGATCAAAGTAAATATACTGGTGAACTTTTTTTAACAGAGGTGGTCGATAATGTTTACTGGTCAATTCGTCTTGATGGCTTCTCTATCAATGGTATATCATTAGACTTTCAAGGTCGCATTGGGAAAATTGTTTCAGGATTATCCCCAATAATTGTACCATTTGACGATGCCCATAAAATTTATCAGCAAATCCATAATGCAACTGATAATGATGGAAGATTCACAATGCCTTGTGAAAATGAATTTAAGGTTAAAATAAAAATCAGTAGTGTAGATTTTGATATTGATCTGAGAGATTTAATAGATGTTCAACAATTAAATGATCAACAAATATGCAGTGGAATGATAATGGGAGGCATTACAGGTATTTATTTATTACTTATTAAATTGTTTATCGTTATAAAAATTTTCTAACAGTAAAATTGGTCATTTACTGTAAATACTTTCGATATCAGATAATAATGGATGGATCCTTGGTACTACTTTTTTAAAAAATGTATATAGCGTTTATGACGGATCGAACCATAAGATTGGAATTGCTAAATTAAACAAGTCTATAACTTGAATATTTTTAATATTTGATTTATTATTATTTTCGAATAATTTATAGAAAAATATAAATAAAGTTAATTAGTCAAAAAAATTTTTTTGCCAATTTTTTTTCTCGACCGCTTCGCTCAGTCTCTTTTAAAGCCAGTTCTACATTTCCTTTTTTATATCATGGTATTACAGCTTACTTCAAAATTCAAGGCAATTGAAAAAAATTGCCAATGAACGAATTGATAAGTTTTTGATGCCTGTTGATGTCGGTAATTTACTTAGTTCCGCGACAACTTACCAATTTGATTATTAGAAAAAGTTTTTCAAATCCGACTCTGCGTTTACGTCATAAAGCTATTATTGATTTTTTTTTCTATAGATTCCGGCCTTATTCAAACTTCATACATTTTTTTAAAAATATGCCTGCTTATTAGAGCTTCGATTCTATTTTTTCAGGACTATCTGGATTGAATTCAGATTCTCTTTCATGAATCCGGTTATAATTCGAATTGAATTTGATTCAAATTCAATCCAGAAAAATCATTGAACGACCAATCAATATTGCGAATTTTGAAGCTGGTAGAAATTTTTTTTTTTTATTATATATATTTTATTTTATTTTATTATTAATACTAGATATTAGACCCGTCATTAAACGACGGGTTAGATTTTAACATCTCTATTACAATACCCTGCAGGATAAAGATGAGTAATCAGCGTTTCCAAAACTCCCTTGCATAATACACAATATGTAAAAAGAAGGCAGCAGTCATGTGAGTTTTAGCCAATCATCGGTGTAACATAAAAACAGTAAATACAGTAAATGAGAAAAATAATCATTCTATTAGGATGAGAAAGCTTGTACGTACGTACGTACGTATCTAAAATAATTCTAACATCTCTTTATGGTTAGTAGAGTTCCAATCCGGATAAATCCATCATCCGTATCTGAATTATCCGGATAAATCTATCATCCGCATCTGAATTATCCTGATAATTCAGATCGCTCAGGTTTCCTGATAATCCGAATAATTATCTGGATCTCAATAGTTTGTATAATAAAGTTTGTATTATAAAATAATTCTAACAGCTCTTTATGGTTAGTGTAAATTTCATATTATAAAATCATTCTAACGGCTCTTTAAAGATAGAATTTAGTATTTTGATTATGGATGTTTGTGCTATATTTTAAATTTCATAAAGAATCTTTTTCTTTTTTTGTTTTTGCCGCTATATCCATCACTAATACGTATATTACACTGTTTAAAAAAGAATTTTTTAATTAAATAATAAGTTTAAATACATATATTACCTGGTGAATATATAGTAAATAAGTTATAATTTGTACTATATATTACTGGTTATTATTTAGCTAAAATATGGTTTTTTTACCAGTGTATAGTCTTTTTAATAATATTTCTAATTCACATAATTAACATGTGCAATATTAATTATTCAATATGGTACTTAAAATAATCTTTATATTAATCTTTAACTCAACGATGAAAATAGAAACATGCGCTGATGCAGTATAATACAATATTTATTAATTAAAAATTTTTTGGCTGGTTTATTGATTTCTTTTGATGATAGACTCTCGGTGTGAGAACTAAATGAATCTCTATAATTGTTAAATTTAAATAGCATATATTATTGCAAGAATGCAAACACTATAATGTTTATTGTTTTGTCTGTTATGTCTTGGTTATTATATTCATGATATGTATTTTAATCCGATGCATAAATTAGACTCCTCTCGAACATGATGCAGAAAAAATACTGTATAAGAGAACTGCGCCACAGACCAGAATTTTAAAATATAGATTTTTTACTTTTTATCTATTTTTTTCTAAAAAAAAAACATTTAAAAAAATTTTTAAAAATTTAAATTACCGGTAGGGTGACTGTACCACAAAAAGCGGTCTATGGTGTTGTATAATGTAATAGGGTCGTTCATATTAAATCCCATTTTCTGTCCATCAGCATAGACCAATCAGAACCATTACAGGTATATTATGTGTTAATCTAGCAAGGATTATGATCAGAATAATCCTCATCTTAAATCTAAATATATTACGGATCCGTTTAAAATTGTCAATCAATCAGAATTAGTTGGATTGCGGATCTAAGCACTACTGCTTATTGTAAAACGTGTAATATTGGATAATCAATATACTAATATTTAATTTTCATTGAATCAAATACGCACAACAGCGTAGTAATAGCAATTTTGTCTATTATAAAAACGGAATTTCGAGGAAATTTTGTCTATAGATCTTCCGCCACAAACAGTATAAGAAAGTTGAGGCCAGAGGTCTAGAATTTGCTTGACATAAGGAAATTCGTCCCATACTACGCCATTTTTGGCCAACATTACATACAAAAAGGGGAGCCTAATTTAGAAATATAAAATATTTAATTTGTGTGTACTACGTTTAAATCATATAAATGGTTTAAAAAAGTATTACAATATAAAGTTCTTTAGAACTTAATAAAATGAAATTTCTTTAAAAGCTCTAAAATTAGTGTTACATCCGAAACACGCGCATGTGCATTCAGTAAATGTGGTGCGCCATAGTAGTTGGACAGGAATTAGATTCTAACTTAAAATGTGAATGTTTATTATTTTGCTATTTTACCATACGTAAAATAAGTAACTCTCATTGAAGCAAATTAGGCTAATATAATCCTCAGCCATGGAAGCTCAAACTTTTTATAATAATTAATATACTGTAGATTATATCTAGGCTTAGTATGAATTTAATATAAACTATTCTACTTAAAAAAAATCAATTTTTTGCTAATTTTAAAATTTTAATGACTTAAATTTTCATTTGTCAAATTTTGATGGAAGGCAGTACCAATAAGCAATTGTTTTGTTAGTTTAATGCCATTATTTATGAGCGGTAAATTTATTTTCAATAATTTTGCTTTAAACGAATACTATTAAGGTTAACATTCTTTTAAGTATAAAACATTGAAAACGAGCCAATTTTTTGGAGTATTGGCGCATCACTGTAAACGATCACCCCATAATGTAACAATTACAAATCCTCTTTCGATAGTACCGATAACTTACTATTTATAGTATTCAGTTAAATAATTTGAAAATGGTTTAACCATTTCTTAAATTCGGAAAATTTTGTTGTACATTGTTTTTCCGGATCTTCGGCAACCATTTCTATAAAATAATAATTATTTTTGATCATCTTTAATTGTGTATGTGTCTATCTGACCTTCATTTGCATAGTAATATTTGCTTTTATTAACATTTCTTCTTGTAAATTTCGACCTTTCAACATTGGAACAAATGCACTTTCGGTAGGTACCATTTTTTGATAACATATTGATTTCTAATAATTTTTAACTTTGTTCATGCTTCAACATGATTAAATATTTCTGCGTACAAAATACATTTTTGAGCAACGTTGATTTTGTAACATTTTCGGTAGCACTTTCAATTAATCTCTTCGGATTTTTGATTAATTGATAAGCAATATTGATCTGCATTGATCCTTTGGATGAGCATAGAACATCATATTCAAATTACATACTGCATTATTCCTCATTTAGGTTCATTTTGCTTACGAGACAAGACTGCTGAATTAAAAAAAAAAAAATTTTGATTAAATAAGAATAAATTCTAAAAATACTTAATTAAAATATAATATAAAATTATGACATTATATGATGAAGAGTTTTGCAATACTGTATCGGTATTATCTATCACAGCTTGAGCCATAACTCAAGTTATAATCTAGCTATAATGCAAGTTATGGCTTCAATAATTATGGTTTAATGTAGAGCTATGCTTTTAAAAGGCTGATTCAGTTGCAGCTGGTGAGCATGGCGGACATTCGATTTGATTGGCTTGAAGATCCCTAAGTTACACAACATAAATAAATTTTTTTAAGTAACTCTTACTATGAAAAACCACATCGTCAATTGACAACTCATGGTTTTACATAATAAAATTTTTTTAAACCTTATTATTGTATTCTTTAACTTTTCATACGTCGTCAGTAAAAAAAGATCAGTAAAGATCATTATCCTTAAAAACTTTTTTTAGGGAGCAAATTTAGGTAAGTTATATACTATATATATAACGAATTAGTCAATTAGACTTAAAAAAAAATTTTATTATATTAACAAAGTTAGGGCATTCTTAAGCGGCTCTCTTAGTTGAGATTGTTCCTGTCAAGAAAATCTTCACCCGGGTATTATTAGAATATCCCGCTACTTAAATTATTCAAAACGAAATGCTGATCTTAAGCTTTAGCCAATTAAAAAATGGGTTGTATCTCCAAATTTTATTTAGAAATGGTAATCTACTTTGTTCAGTTTATTAAAACTAATTAGCAAAATTTTGTCCTTGAAAAATTATAGAATGAACTTAAAAGAATATCAGTGATAAGAATTTTAAATTATCTTGAATTAGAATTTATATATACTTGAGTATTTTCACTTCTTTATTCTGACGAATTGGGTATTGAATAGAATTACCCGGCTAATTAGGCTTTTTTTTTTGCCTCGCTAGGTCCCAATGGAACCCAAAAAGCTCAAGCTATTCTTGCAGCCATACCAATTCCAGAGTTATTCGCGCTTTTTGAAACTTATGAAGACGCAGTTACTTCGGCTGCCTGTAAATTCTCAATAAACTTTTGCAGCCTATGAGCTATGTTGATATAAATTTATCGGGACTTCAGGTTTTATTCCAATAAATATTAGCTTTTAATCAAGTTCAATAGTTGAATTTTATGGTTATTAAATGTTTGATCTAGGAATATTTGATTCTAGGTTTGCAGTATGAATTTCCCGAAGTTCGAATTCTGCTAATACAATTATAGTCACTATATCTTTCTTTAATAAATTCTAGTGATACTAAATTATTTTTTTGTTTTAAAAATCATAGACCCGAACTTAAAAGAATATCAGGCGATGAGAATTTTAAATTATCTTGGATTGATTATAACGAATTCAGAAATATCCTGGAAATGAAAATAAGAATTTATAACGGTTAGTGTT